AATATTAGTGAAAATGATAAATTATTATGAAAAGTTGATGTTCGCAATATCTAAATTTAGTAGTATTGACTTCCACCGGGCAAGTAAGTTTGTTCGAGGTATCTTTCCCTGAATGCTAACAATGATAAAAGTATTACCGCTGGTTCATAATAATGACTTCCAGGACTTGAGATCAAATCTCGTGGGTCAGCGGTTCTACTGGAATTGTTCAGCTCACACGTAACCCATCCATTTGGTAACCTTCTGACGTTCATAGAGAAACACAGAGGAGTGTCCGCACATTGCCAGCCACATGATATTGGATTAGAATCAGTCACAGTTTTAATGACGTGATTCTGTAGAGCAACACCTTCTTCCTTGAAAAATTTAACTGTTCTGCATCGAGCAGCCACCAAAGGCAAATAAAATAAGGCCATTATCAACTGCATCCTATCAAAAGAAGTTCATTGTGTCAGTGAAACTGATAGGGGAACTTGCTTGCTCGGAGATAATTTATAAGTGAAGAATAATTTAAAATTATATCTTCTCTAAAGAGAAGTGCACTCAATATCTACGTATTTGCTCATATATCAGCTACACTTTGTTAATTCAGATCAAACTCAGGGTGGCTAGCTTTCATGGAAACCTGTGTAAATAAACTTTCAAGAATAATGTCCAAAAAAAATACAATTGTGCAAACAAATTGACATATAAATTTTTAAAGATCATCATTAAAGTTCCCTGCGTTTCAAACTTATTTTATCTTACAAAAAGTTGATGGCAGCTCCTTTGGTTTAAAGAAAGAGGAGTTCCCTTCCTGAAGTTTCATACTTTTTTCGAACTCTTATTCGGAACCTCCTTCAAAATCGAACCGTAATGTCCCCTCAAGACACAACGAAATTAACTCCTGACACTACAGACAAACCCCAGATGGTCTGCATCTCTAGTCTTGTGTGTCTTTTTTGTGAGTGTCTTCTGTTTATGTTTTTTTTTCGGTTTAAGTTTTTTTGTTCCGCTTTTTAATTTCACCCTGAGAGATGTTGCGTTATCTAAACTCAAAGTGCTCATCATATATTTCGCTAAAAGATTTTTAGCTTGTTACGTAAGAATGTTCCAATTTCTTTAACAACAAAGAAGGAAAATGTAAAATACAATATTATGTAACGAAAAAATTATACCTTGTTTAACAGCTAACCGTGCGTTTCTTGAAGAAGTTCAATATCAGGAAAAAACAATCATACGAATTCCCGTCTATAAATGGATTTTTTTATCGCACTTCTCCTGCTAATGGCAGGTTTATTCAATTCATCTTTAAGGTCAAATATTTATTTTGTGTTATCCTCGATCTTTTAAAACGTTTAAGGTTGTAACCTTTCTCCTTATATGGTCACATTGTCATCGCTTTTATTTTGTTTTTAGATCTTAGGTAACAGCAACTTTATTTGTTTCGTTGTAACTCAGCAAGGGTACATAGGTGAAAAAGGTGATAACGCTGTGTTTTTGACAATAAATATCGTTAAACTTTCAAGCAACTTGTTATTGATTGATTGCAATTTTTTCCGTGCACCAAGTAATCCTTTTTTTTGTAGGTTTTAGATTTCTCCTCATTCTCTCGCGTTTTATTCCCTCAGATTTTGAATAATGACTATGTACTGTTTGTTTTTAGTGTGCCCTGCTGTGGATATCTTCTTGCTATTATCAATGATAGAGAATCCATCTGCTTGCTTGCTGATTTTTCTCGTGAATCTTTTACAAAGAGTTAAAGAGTTAAAATACAGTCATTTGAGACTAACACAGACTTGGAGTTATCGCAGGCTAAAAATCATCTAAAAGTTTTCATCTGCATTCTATTTTTCTCCGGGTTTGTAACGATCATGCGCAGTGTGTTTTTCATCCGTAGGCTTTCTTTTCACAGACAAAAGGTAGATGCTTCGCACAGCTGATGTCGTCCCAAGTCCCCTCTCCAAATTTCATCCCCACGCAGTCATGATCTTCATTCATTAAAATATTTCTTGTGTCTGGTTGCTCAGGGGCCCATTTCGTAAATGTAACGTGAGTGCCGTTCGGCCAATCAAAAGTTCCCTCCGTGTCGAGGTCATTAAACCCGATCCAAGCTTCACTGAAAGATGGCTCTGCATAAGAAAAAAATACTTTACTTTCGTTTTGGTGTAGAAATTTGCTTTTCAATTTTAAACTTTAGTTTATAAAGATAAATTAGGCCAAAAATCAATTCAAAAAGAAAGTTGGTGTTAGATATTTTTGACATGTCAGGCGTATGTCATCTGAAACCATAATGAGATCAACAAACATGATGAAAACAAGTAACAAGCTTGTGAATAAGCCTCAGGTGAAAGAATTGTTAGTTAAGTCTGACAATTCATTGAAAAATTACATAGCACTGATTAATGAATAGCTCTCTCAACAAAGATGCGCAGTGGGAATGCGCAGTAGCAATGGAGCCCGAATGCTCTAGAGTTTGACGTCAGTCAATTTCAAAATCAGAAAACTCGGTAAATATTCGTAATATCGATGTAGTATACTCAGCAAATCGACAACTTTCATGCAACGTGATATTTGTTCTTCAACTGTTTGATCATTGACTTTCTCTCCTCTCGTTCGACGACTATCGCTCTGACGAAGGGCTAACACTCGAAACGTCAGCTTTTTTACCCTTTACGGTGGCCAATTTACGTTTTCAACTCAGTTGTTAACACTAAATTACCTGCTATACTCTTCCACCGACGCAGTACCACAGTTTCTTTAGAAACTTACCCCCCGAAACGCAAAAAGATTGTTGAGTATGCCTTTAATTACCTATAATTTTGCTTATTAGCTGTTCACCAGTAAGAGCGCTACCAATAATCATCAAATCCCTCAAATATCCTTTTAGTGTAGCACCGCTGTTCCTTTTCCTTCCAATATCAAACTCTTTAGATGGGTTGTAATCCTTCGGGGCAGCATCACTAGATACTGACTGGGACGCAATCTTTTTACCGTTCAGAAATAAATAGGCCATGTGTTTATCTCGGTCCCAGACTGCTGCTGCATGAAACCACTCGCCATGTGGAAGAGACCTGGGTATAAATGGACCGACTTGTTATTCTTTCTAAACTCAGTGTCCCGCTTGCAAGTCATGCTGATCATTTTGATTTGACTTTATTGTCTGGTCCGAAAAAAGAAACTTCATCAGCTAATTCTCCTGAAGCGATTATTGGAGAAGGTAATTGAGGCTCATATGGCTGACCACTGAGTTATTTTTGGGTGAAACCCATAAAGAATGACCTAAGCAATGAGTGGAAGTTTAATGCCTTCACCTTAATTAATTTTGGAAGAGATTCAAAAGTGCTTCAGGCGTGATAAGAGAAAGGACTGTCTAAAGATGCGAAAAACATCAACAGGACAAAACAACTAGTATATCAGGTCGGAATAACAAAAAAAAGACACATACTTTTCTTAGTTTATATGCTGAAACATAATTGAAATATGAAAAAAAAATCTTACCCCCTAGCCATTGAAATTATGTCTTTCTCATTTGTTTTGTTCTTCACTACGAAACGAAGCTTGGAAATTGAGTTTTTACCAAACAAAAAATGTCTCTGATTTTTCCACAAGGAAATAATAACTGATGTATGGTTAACAGAAGGTTTTAGTTTTGCCCAGCTGGCGATGGTGAAACTTTTGTTCCCGAAGTCCACTGCGGCGGTTGTTGCGTACGATGAGGCAGTCCCGTTAAGGTGCAATGTCTTTACACCATCTTCTTCCGTGTATTCCGCATCATTCGCGAGTCTGTTCAAAATATAAACACATTTGTTCTGTTGTAAATGAGACATTTTAGGCTGTGTCGAAAATATTCTGTGTTATTTCGCACTTGAGTTCCTTCGAAACGAGTATAATTTACTTTTCACTCTTTGTATATTGACCCTCGTTATGAGCAATTTCACTCACCCTACATCGGAGTCGCTTCCGTCTAATTTCCAGTGTTTGATGACATTGACTAATTGTTTGTTCTCACCTTAAAAATCAAGATTCTTATTAGTATTATTCTTATACCTTTATTCTTATACTATGATTCTTATTACGATTAGTATTTCCGATGCTCTACCATTGAGCTGTAGAGGAATCGTGGTAGGCTAGGCCGCTTAGCCAGGTACATGACAATCTTTCGTTTCTCTAGATACACAAGAAACCTCATTATCTATCATTTAACGTCTTTGACGATCATTCTTCTAAAGAGTGGTATTCATATTTTTTAAAGTGAATTTTTAATATCTGCCAACCTGTTTCATCGATTTTGACACGGTCAAGCAAATGACTGATAAACTCATTCTCGTTTTCGTGAGTGATTGACACAAGTTCTCCATCAATCGAATGACAGAACTGCCGGGCTTCTTCCCAAGTCTTTCTCTCAGAGAAACTTTTCAGGAGCTTGGACCCAAATCTAAACCAGCCATCTTGAAAAACTAAATCAGAAAACAAAAACAAAATTTCGAATTTTTCAATTGATGCGTCAAGCGCATTATGAAGTCAATGATTTTCATGTCATGTCATATGTCAGCAAGTATAATCTCTTTTCTTTAAACTTGCGATACTCAGGAGGATATTAATCGAAGGGCAACGTGCATTAGTTTTTGTTTGTTGTGCTCTGTAATCGGGCTTTTCCCTTTATCAATAATGGCGACTCGACTCGTATCTTCCCGTGCTTAGAGTTGTCCTCCTGTGCCTCTGAACATTGAATAGAAAAGCACTTTATTGTGCACTGCTATAGCAAAGGCAAAGAAAGGTAGCCCTTTTTACCGAGGCCTTTTGCAATGCGATGGTAAATGACAAAAGACTTACCATCTTTGTAGATACACTGCTTTGTTGTACAATGCTCAACTTTCTAAAATTCGAGAGTAAAAAATAGATATTCCAATAATTACTGAGAAAGATCGAATATCCTTGATTTGACAACCAGAGCAATCAGTATTTTTTTCATGGGTATCTGCGAACGTATCAATATTTTCTGATCTGAGATTGTGTTAATTTGTAGAAAGAATTTACAAACTGGTCGGTGCCATCAGTGAAATGGTGACAGCCACTTACCACAAGTTGCTGGTAACGAGTTTCAGGACTGAATAGGAAATCCTGTGGGTCAGCCGTTTTGCTCGAATTGTTCAGTTCGCACGTGACCCAACCAGTCGGGAGTGATCTGACATTCATAGAAAAACATAGTGGAGTGTCCACGCATTGCCACACACATGTTATCGGTTGCATGGCGGTCACGGTTTTTATCACGTGATTCTCGAGGGCATGACCTTCCTCTATCACAAACTTAGTCGTTTGACAACCAGCAACACAAGGTAAAAAGATTATAGCAAACCACTTCATGCTGAAAATGTTGAAAATAGGGAATCAGTAAAGTTTTGGAGTATAAGCGTCATCATCATCAATTCGCTGTAACGTGGGAAAAGTTAGGGTTAAGGTTCGTGGGAAGGGAGAAGACTACATTAAGGGAGGAGATGGTGAAGAGCAGCAAATGAAGAAGGAATGATGAAGGACTGGAAAGAAATTTGTCAAGAAAGGAGAAAAATAAATCATAACAATTGGTGTGTAATTTTTAATACGTGAGTTTCTTTCCTCAAACCACTGCCTAACAAAATGTTTAGGGCTTATCGTAGGATAAACTTGTTACAAACCAAAACACAAGTACAGAGACTCAAACTTCAAACAGGCTTAAATTACAAGTCAAAGCAGTTAAGAAAATGAAGAAAGATAATAAGATATCTTTGGCACGTTTATTCCTGATCGTAGAGTTTTACCATTTCTGCACCTTTAATTTACAAAGATTAAACTGCAATCGAAATTTCAGATGACATACAAGTCATATCCCAGGGAGGAAAAACCGCGAACTTTTTGTAGCAACGGCAACCAAATGCTGCAAAGCGATACATATTCGCTTTTTCGTATAATTTTTTTTTACTTTATCAATAGCCACAACTTTTATGTATAACGTAACTTCTAAAGTTATGTTGTACATCACGTTTTGTTTTCTACCATAGCTACTTACGACATATCAAACAAATATGCGGTTTTGAAACAGACAAGTTTATGCTAGAAAATGAAAGAATCCTTCTTAAAAGTACTTCGTACCTTATTTTCTTCTTGTTTCAAGTGACAAAAGTCCTCAAAAAAACTTAATAACTGGAAGAATCATCCCCTTAAGGCTTACGACGTGACTGTGGGTAATACTACTTTGTTATGGTCACCGCTGTGTGGAGCCTTGCAAACGCATTAGCTTTTCCACCTTATCTCGTACCAGAACTGCTTCTCATTCAATGTATTATTTTCTCAGATCTAATCGTAGGGGGTGTTTTGTAATTACAAATTTAATCTAAAGTATAATAACGAAACGAAAATGCATATCATATACATAATAATATCACAGCGAGGATGATATAATTTTTGTGATCTGGTTTTTAGTTTCTTAGTTATAGACAAGCACACTTATTTGGTAACTATGATAAAAAGAGACGAAAAAAAACACCACCATTATATCCGCTCTTGATCACTGCTGCGCTATATCAATGTTTCCTCTTTGGGGCTACCCTAAATAGTTTAAGTTCTAAGTATTGATATGGTTGTCAGTTAATTAATTTTCACGCAAATATTAGTATACAGTTTTCAATCCATACTCACTTTGTTTTGTTATCTATTCAGAATCAAATTGAAAAAAGAGAAATAATAAAACTAACGTTTTTACAGATTGGTTTCCTACCACTTCTCATTTTTTGTGCTTGTTTATCTCACTCTACCGTGACTATTAACATTACAATGTAATATTAAATTTCAAGATGTCGTTCAGGCTGAAACATACATTCATCCACCTTTCAATTTGCCCGTTTACAGTTACAATATAACAGAATAAATTTAAGTTCTGTGGAAACAATTTACTTGAAGAGAAAGCAAGAATGAAATTATAGTTATTTAATTCCTGATTATTCGCTTACTGTCTTGATTATTATTCTGGGTCAGATTTTAAATCATGTATTTTCCAATTACGTTACATTATAATTTCATTACGTGTAACAGCTGCATCCTAGTTGACGGTTATTCATAACTGCCACTTACAAATATCCATAATAGTTATTGGCACTATGCATAAATCGGAAACGTTAAGTGCAAATATTAAAAAGTAGTCAGTGAGAACTTGAAACCAATGGAAAACTCAGTTTTCAGCTCTCTTTTCTGATTTTCATAAGGTTAAAATCGATTTAACTGAAAGTTATTTGCTGGTGTGAATGGGGTTCAAGCAAAAGCAAAATCTCTCTAAAAAACTTTGCTGTTTTGAATCGAGAATTTTAACTTTTGAGCATTTTTCAATCAAACGATTTGTTAATTCCGAGCTTATATTCTAAAAGAATCGAGACTTAATAAATGTTAGGCTTATTTTTCACACACAAACGGAAGTCGCCTCCCGCAGCTTGTGTCGTCCCAGGTCCCTTTAGAAATTATCATACCGACACAGTCCTGGTAACCATAGCTGTTATCTGGTTGACTGACAGCCCAGTTGGTGTATGTTACGTGAATACCACTGGGCCAAAGGAAAGTCCCCTCTGTGGTGATGTCATTTCCACCGATCCAAACACCATCAATTATTTCAAACTTAGGATCTATTATGATAGACAACGATTTACATTATAGTGAGGAGAAAAAACTTAAGTTGTTCTAAGTTGTATGTAACGGTCAAGAATTGCTTTTTCAAGATCTAAGTTGGGTTTTCATAACATCAAGCGGTAAGCCCTCAAAGCTTTTCCAATTTCCCTAAAGTTTCATAAGTATCCATCTGTGCTCCCAGGTTGAAAGA